TTTTCTTTTTAGAAAGGAAGACGCAAAAATGGCATACAAACATGACTGCTTTTTGCACAATGTGTTAAAGACAAATTTGAATTAATTAGTGCATATAATAATGACATTAAAAAAGCAACTTTTAATATTTTGAAAGGAAAAAATATTGAACATACTTCTGAAGTTTCTCAAATTCTGGGATTTTTATATTTGCACCGAGATACTTTTCCTTAAATACAGTTAGTAAAACTCTAATACACAACCAATACTATTAAGCTGTGCTATAATTTTAAAAGCATTTTTATTCATTGCTAATTTATAATCTGTTTTGAATTCAGACCTGTGTAGCAGAGGCTGCTAATTATTTCTCTGATACAGAAGCTTTTTATACATACCACAATTTTGTCATCTGGTGTCTTTTGAGAAATGCTGCTATGCTTTCCAAAACACCTCAGTACAAATGTCTCAAAAACCCAAAGGCTAAGTTAGGAGAGCCAGTGTAAATTCAGGTTCAGAGAAGCACTATTTACCCCAACTTTTAGATTTTTCTGTATACACCAAACTGCCATTTTAGATAAAGGAAGAGTACACAGATTATTAAGGAAGAATTTCAGACACAAAAAGACATCAGGAATATAAAGCAAAACAGTGGTTGGTCTTGTTGACGACTGTGTGGACATCTGTCATAGGTCAAACTATCAGCCAAACCTGTCATGACCAGCAGGGAGCTATGAAGAGGAGTATGGTCTGTTTTCAGAGCAAACACTTTGGGAATAAACAATACAGGAAGAACAGCATGCAACTCAAAGCTGCATTGAAAAGACTCTTATCTGGATAAGAGTCAAGGTTTCTAGCCCTTTCGAATGAAAACTTGGATATTAGATGGTTTTGGGGGTGAGAAAAATTCTATCTAGAGAGTTCTTCCACTAATGCAATGGAACTCTACAGTAAGCACACATTGCTGGTGACATCTGCCCAGCCTGAAACACAGAACGTTTTACAGGCCAGTGTGCAATGAGGTTATGTCACATGGGCAGAACCACCTTAGTATTACCTATTAGAGAGATGATAAAAGGTACTCTTCCTTCCAGACATTTCGTGCAGTAGTGATCATTAGAAAGAGACAAGACCACCATCCTCATATTTGTCTGAGGAGACATTGCAGGAATGCTACTATCTGAAGGATTAATGTACTATTAATATATCAGTTTGGTAAAAAACGCAGTCACACCAATACTGGTCCTCAAGTTTCAGTGAGACGGAAGTTCTTTCATCATGAACTGTACCAATCCAGTCAACCTAGAATTTAGCAACTATTGGAAGCTTTTTCCTCAATGCTACTCTAGAATGTCTCCCAGATAACCTGGCTCTTAAGACAGTCAGTGCTACCAACTCTGCCAGCATGACAGTCCCTTAGTTCACACAGTGCCATGGCCTTGCTCCTACTCATTGCTACTAAAGGCAATTCTGAAAACTCGAGAAATGGGAAGAGTTGTGTCGTTCTTACTAGGTGAATCCAACATGCACTCACAAGTCAAGTTAATGCATTCTTCATGCCTGACTTGGTGTCAGGTCTTTGGCCTTTGAATCAGTGCGAGTAAAGTTAATGCAATGGCTACTAAAAAGACAGGAAACCTCAATCTGCAATCTTGTTATCCATACTAGTAGTCTGTTTCAAAGAGACTCTCAGTTAAGAAACCAGAGGGAGAGATAGATAGCCCAGGATCACAGCTGCACTCTACAGCTGATGCCTTCTGTTGTTGCACTTCCAAAAACGTATTTTCAAGAAATAAACATTGTTTTCATGAATTGTTCCAAAAGAAGCAATTTGAACTCTGTCCTCCACCTAAAATCGAAGGGAAGGAAAAGCAAATAAAACTCTTCAGAGACATATCCCTTCTTAAAGAGGAAGTGCATACACTGTTGACTTGGAACCTAATGGTCTCAGATTACAATTTTTTAATAGCTTTACATTGACTCTCCCTTTCCACACATCACATTTTTCAGAACTAGGGCTTATTATGTACTGACAGAACATTAACTGTCAGTACTTTCTTCAAGTTACCTATTACTGATCTGCTTTGCTAATATGGTATGCTGTCATAAAATCACAATATTCTCAGTTGGAAGGCTCCCACAAGGATCATCATGGAATCATAGAATCAGCTGGGTTGGAAGGGACCTCCGAGATCATCAAGTTCAACTCTTGATCCAACACCACCGTGGATACTAGACCATGGCACTAAGTGCCACATCCTGTCTCATCTTAAAAACCTCCAGGGACGGAGAATCCACCACTTCCCTGGGCAGCCCATTCCAATGCCTGATTACCCCTTCTGTAAAGAATTTCTTCCTAATATCTAACCTAAACCTCCCCTGGCAGAGCTTAAGACCATGCCCTCTTGTCTTACTGATAGTTGCCTGGGAGAAGAGACCAACCCCCACCTTGCTACAACCTCCTTTCAGGTAGTTGTAGAGAGTGATGCGGTCTCCCCTGAGCCTCCTCTTCTCCAGGCTAAACCACCCCAGCTCCCTCAGCCTCTCCTCATAGGACTTGTGTTCAAGTCCCTTCACCAGCCTTGTTGCTCTTCTCATGGGGTTGTTGTGGCCAAAGTGGAGGACCCGGCACTTGGCCTTGTTGAACCTCATCTCGTTGGAATCAGCCCAACTCTTCAGCCTGTCCAGGTCCCTCTGCAGAGCCCTCCTGCCTTCCAGCTGATCAACACTCCCCCCCAGATTTGCTGATGGTGGACTCAATCCCCTCATCTAAATCGTCAATAAAGATATTAAATAGAACTGGGCCCAACACTGATCCCTGGGGGACACCACTAGTGACCAGCTGCCAACTGGATGCAGCACCGTTCACCACCACTCTCTGGGCCTGGCCATCCAGCCAGTTCCTAATCCAGCAGAGTGTGCCCCTGTCCAAGCTGTGGGCTGCCAGCTTTTTCAGGAGTATGCTGTGGGAGATGGTGTCAAAGACTTTGCTGAAGTCCAGGTAGACCACATCCACAGCCTTCCCCTCATCCACCAGGCGGGTCACCTGATCATAAAAGGAGATCAGGTTGGTCAGACAGGACCTGCCCCTCCTAAACCCGTATTGGCTGGGTCTGATCCCTTGTCCATCCTGTAGGTGCTGTGTGATTGCACTTAGGATGATCTGCTCCATAACCTTGCCAGGTACTGAGGTCAGGGTGATGGGCCTGTAGTTTCCCGGGTCCTCCTTCCAGCCCTTTTTGTGGATTGGCATGACATTTGCCAATGTCCAATCATCTGGGACCTCCCTTGTGAGCCAGGACTGTTGGTAAATGACAGAGAGTGGCTTGGCGAGCTCTTCCGCCAGCTCCCTCATCACCCTTGGGTGGATCCCATCTGGTCCCACAGACTTGTGGGGATCTAAGTGGCTCAGCAAGTCGCTAACTGTTTGCTCCTGGATTACAGGGGGGCTATTCAGATTCTTATCTCTTTCTACAAGCTCCAGAAGCCAGCTGTCCTCAGGACAACCTGTCTTACTGTTGAAAGCTGAGGTAAAGATGGTGTTAAATACCTCAGCCTTTTCCTCATCTTTGATAACTATATTCCTGCCCATGTCCAGTAAAGAATGGAGGTTTTCCTTGCCCCTCCTTTTGCTATTGATGTATCTGTAGAAGGACTTTTTATTATCCTTCACAGAAGTGGCAAGATTAAGTTCAAGTTGTGCCTTTATCTCTCTAATTTTCTTTCTACATGACCTAATCATATTCCTAAACTCTTCCTGAGCAGCCAGCCCTTTTTTCCATCAAGTCCAACTCTGAAGTGAATGGCCTCTACGGGTTCACCTTACATATATTTATAGAAGTAACTGAGTATATGCTACCCTCTAGTTACTTAGGTGACCAGTACTCAGAAAGGTTCTTTACCAGTATGCTAAATTCTTCACGTTAGTGTCTCAATTACTTTTCGCTGTGAGCCATCTATATATTTAAGTTTTTCCACTTATGCAGGTTTTAGTATTCTCCGTATTCCTTATGACTGTCAGAAAAAGGATAGTCACTGAGGACACACTAGTGACCACACTAAATCAGGAATCAGTTGTTCAGCTCTAAGTGTAATGTGACATCCTCTTTCTAAAATAGCATGAAGATTTTCTTTCATGCACATTTCTGGACTCTTTTTTTTATCCAAAGCATATTTCAAAAAAAGACTGCCTGAGGAAACAAACTAAAACCAACAACAGAGAAACTGCCACAGAAAGTTATTGGAAAGCATTAAAAATTAAACAGCTTTTTGAAGAGCTCTCAAACTTAATAGCAAAGCCTATTAAAATTGTCTATACTGATTTAATTTGTAACAATTCCATTTCAAACAACTTTGCTTGGTTGTTGTTTAGGAGTTCAAAGTGTAAATGACATCTTTCCCCACTGCTAATACCCATACACTTCTCCCATCTCAAACACGTGGCAGAGGCACAGGGAGAAGACAACCACCACTATTTGAAGTGGTGGTCTTATCATCAGACAATGCAGAAGAAGCATTCTCCAAAATGGAAGAGTCCTCATACAGAACTCTTCTGGCAGATACTGCCCTGGCAACCAAATGAACAGCCTCTAAGAACAACAGCACCGACCATTATTCTTATGCTGTTCATACCACCGTCTCTCAGATAAACAGATGCATCTTAAGATGCCCAAGATTGAGTAACTTCAGTGATTTTCAGATGCTACCCAAAAAAATCAACAATACAATAAGCATAATTGGAACATGCCTATGGGAAGATATTCAATCTTTGCCTCATGTCTCCCAAATAATCTGCTACATTACCTCATCAGTTTTATTTTCCAAACAGGTTTAAAGGCATAACACAGCAGCTCTTGAGTGAAAGCAGAAATGTATTGAGAATGGAAATTTACTTTCACAGTATGTCATGGAACATACATGGAACATCTTTACTCAAAGGAGTTGAAGTTCTAAGTTTTGTATGTGTAATGCTAAGCAAGTACTCACGGAAGTCAAGTTTTACAACCTTGCATTTAACAACATACCTTGAAGTTGCAATTTCCACTTTGGTTCTCGCCATGGCAGCTGCTCGCTGTGCACCCTCTATTGCTCTATCCACCTTTTCTCTAGTTTTTGTGTTTCGTATTGGTATAAGTTGCTTTCTTATTCCACGGACCAAAATGTTATTTTTATACTTTCCCTCTTCTTTGGTGCCATCTGGAAACATCGTACATCCATATCCATGCCTCCTGTTATTCAGCCATTCTCCTTCATATTTCATACCATTTGAACGCTCACTGATACCAAAACCACTGCGCTTGTCATTCTTCCATTCACCCATATAGGCTTCTGTAGTGGTGGCATCGACATGGTCTTCCATAGGGCTATAATCACAGTCACCATCTCCAAAACTAATTGTAGAGTTGGCATCGCTAGAACTAATTCTGCTCATAGCAGCATCACTCCTGACAGAGCTCCGTTTGCTAGATATCGATGACCTAGATTCTGATTTTCTAAGTTTTATACTACCGAGAAGGGATCCTCTTCTGAACAAGCCTCCTTTTTTCTTAATGCCCATGGCTTCTGGATCACTGTGAAAATTGAGCACAAAACCTCCTCTTGTTCCAGCCGGACTGTCTGAGGTGACGTCATGCAGAACAGTGCCGTTGCTCTGCTCACTCCGAAGTGAAGCTAGAGACGTTCGGAGGGGCGAACGGATCACAGTGGCCATGCCATAGGGTACGCTCTGACGCACACCGTATCCATGTCGCATCCCTCCTGTCCACTGCCCCTGGTACGTACCTTTTAAAGGAATAAGGAGAAGTTAAATTCAGGAAGCTGTAGTAGACATAGCACTCTACATCCAGTACGCTACAGGCAATACCACACTGTCAGCTCTGGTTCTGGTAAGAAGTAATGCAGAAAAATCACAGTACATGACACAGCAGATAAACTACTTTTGTTACTTGTTTTTCTTATAAATTATTTTTCTGCTTAGCAAATGCTTCACTCTCACAGCTGAACTAATTTATTTTGGCAACTAAGACACAGTAGCTATAATCATAAGCATTTTTTAATGGATCTGTCCAGGAAAACTCAAAGAGAAGTTTCTAAAGCAGGACTCCCTCTACATTTTTTTAAGGTGGACTGATGGGAAGTGGTCAGCAAAAACAGATCCACATTATATGAAGTCAGTTGAGGAGGGAGAAACAGATGGAGAGAGCAGGACACTCACAGCTCTTGCCTCCAGCTGCGCACAGAAAGGGCAAGTAGAAGTAAACGTCCTGTTATCCTGGGTTTAAGGTGGCTACAGACCTCTCCTTGTCAGGACTTATTTGACAATACACTAAATTGTCTTCAGATGGGCTTTTGGATCTGCTAATATAAATCTCTATTGTAAAATTAAATCTTTTAAAGTTTTTGCGTGCATTCAAATGAAAGAACAAAACCTTGATACTTCCTTCTCTTTAGGAACTCTTCATATCAACACTTTCTGGTATCCCCAGCACATAAACTTGCACTGCATTCTGCATTATGTTGTGACAGTGATCAAAAGCATGAATCCTTTAGCCCTTTTTTTGCCTTTCATTTGCTCTGTAGTATGTAAGAAAGAGAAGGCAGCAACAAACAGAATATTGCACAATATTCTATCAAACATATTTAACCACAACTATTTTCATAAAAATTTTTAAACAGCAGTGTAAGAAAGAGCAACATGGTATATGTTATGAAAAGTCATGGATGTCCATGCAAAGCTGCATTTGAACCAAACCCCACCTTTAACAGATTACTACTGCTAACAATTTTTTTGTTATATTCTCAAAAGGCATTCTCATTTTGACATTTGCCAGTGTCTGGTCTCTGAAAGCCATTTGTACTAGAAGTTCCAAAGGAAGGTAGCAGGAACCCCACAACTAGCAAACACAAGATCATCGCTTTCTGGTATAATTTCACTCAAATTTCCATTAAACTGCTTTAAGCTCCTCAAAATGAAGCCTCTCGCCTACCAAGTGCTGCTTCTTTTTTTAAAAAAACAAAGCTATTTTAAATCTGAATATTCTTACAGAGGGATGAATAAGCAATCTTTAAAATATCTTTTTTTATTTTGCTCTGCTTTAATTGGAGTACCTATTAACTGTTCAGAGAACTGAACATCAAATGTCAAATTAAGTGATTGATAAAATTTTTGTGAAATATCTGCAGTTTTAGATGTATCTTAGAGACTGACTGGCTCTGAGATTCTATCTCCTTTGTATAAGCATATTGTTTTGGTTGTGTGCATCTATCAAGTACTGCTTTACTGAATTACCTCTTCTTCTAAGTTTTATTTCAATGTTAATTCGCAATTAAATTTGCTAAGTCTGTTTTCTTTATTATATAATACTAAAGAAGTTCTACAACATAATTATTTTGTGTTGGTAGAAAATTCTACCAAGTGGAAGGTTTTTGTCTTAACAGATGGCTGCTGACACAAACAAACAACTTTCTTAGTTTCTTTCTCATTCTCTGTATCCTGGATACCTCCTGCTGCACTGGTTGTAAGGGTGCTGAATCTAGGAACATGATTATTTTAAAAAACTCAGCATATGGGGAAGAACAAATAGAAACATGAGCACAAAGCACTGGTATGACGTATTCTGTAAATACTGCAAATATACAGCCACATTGTAATTTTTTTTGTTTTATTAAACAGACATTTCCTAGAAATATATCAATATTTCATGAGCATAAATGACTTCATTTTGTCCCTAATTATTTCTGGGATCCCCTTAGTATTCCAATGATATGCTGGAGCTAAGAATCTGGCTACACATACTTATGGCTACATATAATAATCTAACATTCTGCACCACTTAATTTCATTTTGAAATAATAAATCTAAGTCTAATTTTGATTATACCACAATATTACATTAGAGCAGCAAATCATAATTATGGCTCTCCATGTTGCTATTTGAATGTCAGCCTTGAAGCAGAATCAATTTATTTCAGTATAGAATTTTATAAAAGTATAATATTAATATTTTAATTAATAAACATGGAAAGCTCAAAAATACTTAACTAATTTAGGACTTGTATTTTTCCCTACTCTATAAAGAAATGGAAGTGATCACGATTGTTCTTAAGGGCATTAAAACAAGAACAATTGATGTGGTGCTATTCATTAGTCCAATTTTTCTTTCTACTGGGGAAATAAAATCAATGCCAGCTTCTTCTAAAGAGAAGTTTTCCTTTATTTTTCAACCTATATTTTAAAGGAAAAGTATTTTAAAGGCATATGGAGAGCAGTGTCCAGAATGCAGATACAAGAGACTTGTACAGTAATTTGACTGACTATATCAGCCTTTAACTGCATCACCTTATTGAACAAAAAAAAAAATTTAGAAATCTTTAAATGAGCAAGATAAGGTATGTCAATGTTTCAAAATAATCAAATACTACAATGTATAAGACATGATAAAAAGTTTTTCCCACATATGAAGATACCATATGAAGATACAAACATATGCACTATTTACCTCTCTATATAGATATAAATATGAATGATATATCAACAAGCACACCTTGTCATGTTTCACCTTATTCTGTAGTTGACTGTCAAAAGCAGTTCCTATAAGGGTCAACTGTTAAAATTTTAATTTTAACACTGTAATTATGGATCTAATTTAAAATTTTATTTGACCATAAAACAATAACATTGTTCAGCACTGATTTTTCAAAAGCTAGGCTTGCTATCCCTTGAAACATTCAGCCACAAGTTCTACTGACCATCTATCTGGTGTTTAACTGGTTCCCTTGAAAAGGTGTTCACATATTAAAAAGTATTTTTTTTTCCTTTTCTTTTTGTTGGCAGGTTGTTCCAAGATATAATTTCATAACCTGTCTCCTTAGAGTTACATTATGCCATCCCTTCTAAAACACCTTTGGTACATCTGACAGCTGTAAATGTCATTGCTCACTTGCAGCTAAAATTTAAAACTGCACTGTGAAAAAAAACTGAGAGGCCAAGGACCCATTTAACTACTGCATTTGCTCTTATCCTTTACTTACATATTCTGTGCTTTAACAAATTCGTTGTTATATCAAGATTTTTGCATGCTTTTCAGACTCAAATGTTAGATAAGCATAGACCTAGAAAGAAGAGCTCTCAGAAATCAATGAACATATGTACTACTGATGACCTCTGCTTAGGGTGCTTTTGCCACTGATCTCCCTCTGTGGAACACGACCACACAACCAGTTATTGCTACTGTTGGAAGGACCATAAATAACTCATTTAGACATACTGAAGTTTCAAATTAGCCCACAGTCCCTGCATAAGAAAAGCTCTGGTAGGTTTGCAGATTCACACAGATACAGCAAACCTAGGGAGTTTAAAGGAGGCACAAAAATCCAGACTGCCGTCGGGAACGGTCTGACAGGACACTTTAAGGCCCTGCGTAATCACATGCAATGAACGGAGGATCATGGTTTATAACTCACAATGTTTTCCCCAGAGATTAGACTGAGTGACAATTTTAAGCATCTAAACACAGCATGACATTTATTACTCATGTTGTGCGCAGAAACACTGAGGAACACTGTCAATGCTTATTTTCCTTTTCCCTCCCTAAACCACATCTCCTAATACCACCAATGCATTCTAAAACAATATACTAGGGAAAGAAACAAAAAGAGAAAAAAATAGCAGCAAAGAGGCCTAGAGTATAGCAAGTTTGAAAACAAACTGGCAATTGGCAGAGTCTAAAGAGTTATTTCCCTAAGCTGGTATTCTTGGGTCATCAAGAGAGCTTTCCTGCAAATGTTTGAAAGTATGTTTAAGACACATATGTAAATCTGGTTCCCTTATAAGAACATTTCATATATTCTTCTGGTGTGCAAGTACAGCTATTGTTTCCAGAGCATAAAAACAAAAACACATCTGCAAACATCTATGACGTACTGCTCTGCTTCATTCATGAGTACTTTCATTAAAATCAATGGGACTTCCCACCCTCTGTTTGGATGAACTGCAACATGCAAAAGTCTGAGGCTATGACAACAGATTTCAGGCAACAGGGCTAAAAATCTCGCAGTGTGAACTGCACACTTCATACGCGGTTCCAAGTCTAAAAATTTAGAGAATTTACCTCCAATAATCAGTATTATATTAAGATTTTTTAAAAATCCACAAGAAGCCTAAAGAAAAAAGAACTTATTAATAAGAACCTGAGTTTGAAAAAATAATTTCTAGAAGATTTACTGGAATGGCAATTTACTTTTCCAGGAAAAAAAAAATTAAAAAATGAGATGGCACTGCAAATTCAGGTATTCTTCTGCTTGTAATTTATTAGCTAAAACAAATATAATAAAAAATTGAGACGTGTATTGCATAGTGAAAGTGAAAATAAAATCCTGATCTCTTTCATACTTTGATTTTGGTAGTGTTTTCCTTTTTTTTTTTTTTTTAATTCACAAACACACATCTCAGCTGCCTTTGAACATTAGAACTTTCCACACCAGGAAACAATCTTCAGACAGCTACAAATATGCATAAACAAGGAGACAGAAAGGTGCAAAACCCATTGTACTTTTCGTTTTCTGAATGAAATGAGTATTACCAAACCTGTTAGATTGTTCCAAGTTAAAGAGCAACTCTACAGAAGTTGCAGGTGGCACTTCCACTGATGCCAATGACATTATAGCAGCAAAGGATGAATTAAAGAGTATCAGGCTTATTTGGCGTGCACAGCATGAAGTGACAGAAGTACAATAACTGTAACTGAGGGCTCCAGTGGGGTCCAGTCCTCAGTGACCTTACTGAACCCTGACTTCTTGACCGTTCCCGACTTCGGCAGAAGGGCGGATCGCCCCGTTCCCTCCGCACGCCTACCGAGAGCTCAGCCCCGGAACATTCGCTTTGTCGTGGTGAAGGGTGTGAGAAGCAGGTCTGTGTAACTTCACTACACACCTCGTGCTTTAAGCAGTATGCTTTAAACTATCCCGTATTTTGGTAAAAATAGTAGTTATTACATGAGGGTGGACCCAAGTTTCACTGATTTTACGCAAGCTGCGTACCCACTCCATTACCCCCAGCCTCCTGTTTACCAACCGAGCGCTCAAAGCCACCCTTGCCCGCACAGCAGCACCGCACAAGGGCTCTGTTATTAAGTTCTTGCCATTTCCCCACGGCCACGGTGCGAAGAGGGCGAGGCGGCGGGGCTCGCCTGCCTCTGGCCGCCCCAGCCATCGCTACCGCGGGCGGGGAGCAAGGAAAGCTATCTGCAGGCGGCCGTAATACGGATTTCTACCAGCTGGCCGGGAGAAAGCGCCGAGCCCAGGCAGCGCAGCCCGCCCGGAGTGCAGCCGGGGCCGGGCGGCTCCTCACGCAGCGGGGCGGGGCGGGCGTCGGGCACCTGTGGCGCTCCCTGGCCGCCAGCCGGGCCTCGGGGGCGGCTAGGGAACGGCGCACCGCCTCGGGCTAGGGAAGGAGGAGAGACCCCGGTGAGGGCGCGGGGGTGGAAGGAAGGGCCGTTCCCGCGGCGCGCCCACGCAGGCGCGCCCCCCCTCCATTCCTGCCCGCCCGTCCCCTGGCGCCGCCGCGCGCGGGGCGCCCCCCGCCGGCGCCCACCTCCGTCCCCGTAGGTCTCTACGCCGTATCCGTCCTGCAGCCCGTTGCTCCAGGTGCCCTCGTAGCGGGCCGGCGTGCTGAGGCTCTGCCGCACCCCGTAGCGCCCCTTAAAGCCGTGAGACCACTCGCCGCGGTACATCCACCTGCCCTTCGTCTCCACGCCCAGACCGTGGCGCTTGCCTTGCGCCCAGTAGCCCAGGTAGGTGTTGCCGCTGGGCCAGGTGTAGCCGCCCGCCACCTCGAAGCCATGGGACCAGGAGCCGGCGTACTCGCCCTGCCCCTTGGGCCCGGTGCAGATGCCGTGCCCGTGGGCTTTCCCGTCCTCCCAGCCGCCGCAGTAGGTGCCGCCATCGTCGAAGTCGAACCGGCCGCCCGTCATCCAGGGCAGCGGGGCGAGCGCGGCGCCGCCGCCGCCTCCCGCCCGCCTTCCCTTCCCTGCTCCGCCTGCCCTGCCCTGCCTTCCCCTCCCGCCCGCCGACAGCTCCGGCGCTCCCCGCGACTGCGAGCGCTCCGCCGGCCGGCCGCCCGCGCCCAGCCCAGCCGCAGCCCCGCGGCGGCGAGCGGCGCCCGCCCCCCGCTCCTCCCCGCCCGCCCCTCCGCGCCCGCCCGGTTCCGCCCCCGGTGTGGCCGCCGCTGCCGCGGGGCAGGTGCGCGCCCCTGGGGCGGGCCGGGGGCTACGCTGGCTGCCGCCGCACCTAGGTGGGCTCTTCCCCCGGGAGCGACAGGGCAAAGGCGGCTGCCCCTGGGGGAGGTCTCCGTGTGCCCTTCGTTCCGGGGGAAAGGTGCCCCCCGGTGGTCGGGGACGCGCGTGTCCCGGGGCGGGGCGAGGTCGGGAGCGCGCAAGCCGCGCCGCGGCCCCCGCGGTGCTCGGGGGGCAGCGGTGACTTCGCGCTCCGGCTGCGCCGCCCTGCCCTGCCTCGGCGCTGCCCGCCCGCGGGTTCCCGAACAGGTTGCTGCTGCACCTGCAACGTAGGCAAAATGAGAGGGCTTTCGAGTGCTACTTGTGAGTCTTCATTTGCCTTTTTTTTTTTTTACTTTTCACTTTCCCTGAGCTTGAAGACTAGCTTTCAGCTGAAGTTGTTCATGCAGGGCAGAGCCGAGTTGTGGTTTGTCCCTTTTCCAAACCACACGTGGAGCTCACCGTGTTCCACGGCTGGAGAAATGGGGGGTACAAGGAACGTGAATGGTATCGAGGCTGCTGGGAACTTCATAAGTCACTCTCATTATACCATCAGCCTCACGGCCGACGGGTGACTGAAGGGCGCTAAATCCTGCCAAGTCCTCCTTTGCCAGATATTTGATAATCAGATAAAAATATAAGGGCAAATGACAGGAGAAACGTGAAAGAGTAGAAACAGTAGACAGAATAGTGGAGAAGGGATTGAAAGCTCCTGTCATAGGGCATCTTAGCTTTCTGTTCTTTCACAGTTACAATCCAGGACTGGAAGAAAATCTGAAATAAAATGTTCCTCTTCAATGGGGGTTTTGTTAAAAGCATGAATCATCCTTGTCAGTCATGGAGAGTGGTACTATCTGGACACAGATGATTTGGAAACATGGAGAAATAGCAATAGCTATGTTAGTAGTAATAAGTAAAACCAGAAACATAATTGTAAATGAAGGATTTGAACAAAAGGCATCAGAAGTTGAAACAGTTAAGCTTCAGAAATCTATGCCAAATTCAGCCCAGTTATAAACAGTTTTGACTTAAACTGAAATGAAATTAAAATATTGCGCATACTAAACATTCCCATTGAACTTAAAATTTTCAAGCATTGTGCTTCACAGCACATTGTTCTGTGTACATTTTTATGCCATGCTTACACAGTGGACTTTCATGCTTACGCGCTTTCAATGCCAAAGTATCTCTATTCTTTCTAGGGGAGAGTTGAGCACCATAACTGATAGGTGCCTCTGTTGTCTTTTCTCATCATAAGAAGTGTGTGCTATAAAGCCTTGTTTCTGTTGCAATAAGAGGATTTCTAATTCCGGTTGAATGTGCATAGGTAGAAGACTCTGCAAACGTATTTGGACACATACGTACAAAGAAAAAAAAGACACCATCAAAGACTTGTGCCTTGTCCATGACAAGGTGGGGAAACTTTCAATGCCCCTTTTTTCCCGGGAAATTTTTCCTGGAGTGTAAAAAACCATACAGGAATGTTGTTTCTGTGGCACAGGCACGCGGTCTTTAACATATCTTTGGACAAGGCTGTATAGTGTTCTGAAGTTAAGGAGTGAGACCTTCACTGCAATTTGAGAGTTTTGGAAAGTCATTATTGAGAATGGAGGGGAAGTCTGAAAAGGTTGCAGTGGGTGGGATTGCTGAATAAGATGTGGTACAGTATCCTCTGAGTATTGCTTGACCTCATCAGGTTTTATGCCCTACATGTCTTGCATTTCTTACTCAAGAAAAAGATTGGAAGCAATAGTTGTGATTACACGTATACTTTGAGTTTACTATTTTCACTCTATTAATCTCTCTTTTCTGATTTTTTTCTTCTGACACAAGATAAAGCCCTGTCACGTTCCAACAGGATTTCGGAAGAGTGAGGTATTTTATATGGGTGTGGGTAACTACCCGTTGGAATTCAGCATGCATAATAACTGATACTGGTATACAATTAACTAGTCGTTGAGGTCCCCTGTTTATAACTGCATGTTATTATACGAGAAGTTTTTGTGAAGTACATGAGTTGTCGCGCTTGAACTGGAGCTGTTGAGCATTGGGTTTATCTGTTGGGGGGCTACTATTACTTTACATGGTGTTTCTGGGTGCTGTGTGCACAACAGAGGTGTAAAGCCACTATTGCCTTGCATGACACCCTGTGCATAGCAGGGACACAGCCAGCACAGAGGGGAGCAGAGGTGGAGAGTGATGACAGGTTAGCAAGTCCAGACAGTGCTTCTGCAACTTAGCAGTGGAAGAGGTAGCCTCTTGAGGGAGTATGAGATTGTCTTAGCCCCTCTGTGGATCTGAGCTGCTTCTTTGAAGAAGCAGCCATGTCCTGCTACCTAACGGCCTGGACAATAATCACGGTTGTGTAAGTCCTTTACCAACCTGAGTATCAGTATCAGTGAATTACTGGATTTGCTGTCATTTCCACCTCAGTAGTTGTACTAGTGAATAATTGGATTTGCTGTTGTAATGACCTGGGTAATTGCACTCCTGATGCATATGTGTTACTGTACTGTTACTTGAAGATAAATTGTTTATCCCTAAAGCTATTGATCTAATGTCTATTATGGTATCCCAAACCTGTAACTAATTGGGGCTGCCTTAAGTCCTTACATCTGTACAGTAGAAGATGTTGTATTGTTGCATAAATGAAATAGGCATCTGCCTATTAGTCCTTTGTTTTACCCCCTTGATTTAAATTTTACAGGTTTTAATATTAGATTAGATCAACCAACAAGATCAGATGGGCCAGAGATGAACAATGAAAATTTTAAGAAGGAATCGTATTATTTTTCTTCTGTTATCAGACATGTGTCAGTGGCTCCTTTTTTAGTGATCAGCAAATGATGCTGAAATCAGTGGTAATTTTGCATGTGGTTTATATTTTCAGGTGTATTCATTAAAATGAAGTAATCAATTTAAATGAACTTGACACTTGATGACAAGATGAATTCGTCACTGACAGCCTTTTCTTATTCCCTGCTGAAAATTTAAATTTTGATTGATGTGAGAATAGAAGTGCTTTGCAGAGAACTCTTAGCATCAGTCAGCCAGGTCTTGATGATGTAAGACGTCACAGGTGTCTCATTGCTGATAAGGTTGTAGATTTATTATTTGGAGTTTTTTGGTGGTTTTTTTTCTGACAGATTTTGCATTAACAAGCCTCAACTTTAGTTCATGCCAATATGTGTTTCCTTCTGGCTGCTGTGTAAGTATTGCTCATATGCAATCTTTAGCATGTATGTGTTAAAGACCTGAGATCCACAGATTTTGTTTCCTTTCCTTCTGCCCAGTATTAAGTTAAAAATTATTCTACAACTCCATAGATACAGGAAGTAAGCACTTATAGGTCTATGAATGAGTTTATCTCTTTTGTCCAAAATAAATAGAATTGCTTCCGCTATTTTTTTAATCTACATTATAAGAGTTCTTTTCTGAAGTCTTTCATACGTATAACACTCAGAAAATACAAGGGCCAGGTGCAGTTTATTTATCATTTACAAAGAAGTCATCACAGCACTAGGTCTGATAACACTGTATATATACGAAACATGAGTGCCTGATGACACAGTATGTATGCAAAAACTGTGCTGTGGGGTTTTATGTAAAAAGGTCCTTGGTATAGGGATGGTAGATGCAGCAGGTGAAGACACACTAACTCCAGAGATTTAACATTAACTGGATACGAAACTGCTTAGTTTAAACTATTAGTCTATAGATATCTGATGCATGAATAAAAATTAGGCACATTTATTCTTACCCATAAAAGCCTGATTCAGCAGGGAATTACTTTAAGTACTTCAGTAATCCCATTTACTTCAGTGGGACTACACATGAGCTTTAAATTAAACATCTGCAAGATATCTCTGCTCAAATAAAGCAAGCTCTGAAGAATGTTCTCAAGCGCTCTGCAGAATGGAGGCAGGATGCTTAACTGATGAGCTCCATGAGCTGCACACATTGTATTGGAGGAGTTCACAAACAGGACTGCTGTGTGGGAGGCAGAAATAGAGAAATAAAGGTAGTACAGAAGCCACAGTGTAGAAATTTCAAAGGCAAATAGGTCTTTCCTGGCTCCATATGAGCAGCCACAACTTTTATGCCTATTTTTATGTCTGGATTCTAAATTAAAGTTTATAAATATAGTTCTGTATAAGTGTAATGCAGATAATGTTGTCTGACTTCTAGAACAGGAACATACCACTTTTCTCTAATATACTGAAATTCACATAAGGTAGGGTAAATATGGAAATAATAATTATACAGGATTTTTTTTTTTCAAATAATTTGCTTAAATATTTGAGAAATGATGTGCTATGAATCTACTCTCCTAGATGCATCAGTAAGTGTCAGTTCTACCTTACAATTGAAGCTGGGAACTAGCCAGTAAGACAGTATATTTAATTCCAGAGATATTATGCTTACTCAGTGAATACAGTTATTATTTTCTTTGCAAAAGTGCTGATAAAGCTTATAAAAACAAAAATACAGATACTTTTCTAACTTGAAAACAAAATGAGTATGTTCTGTACCCAGACTTCTATTTTCAGCATTGTTCTAAGCAACTGAATTAGATTTTAAATAAAAATGCAGGTTTTTTTTTTTTAAGGAAATGTAGCATTTATGTTGATCACCTTTGTCTCTAAAGTGATTTTAAGAGTGACAATACTCTCCATACAAATGCGATACAGCGTTTTGGAATGATTATGGTTTTTTTAATGTATAAAGGTATTAGGATATTTTATAATGGTAGAAAAAATAAAAAATATTGTTTCTGGATCTTGCCAGCATTTACAGTTGTGTTGTTGGTTGTTTTGGGTTTTTTCTATATGTCTACAAAACAAAAACAAGTGCATCACAATACCTTAATCCACTTAAAAAACCTAACTCCAAATGTGTTTAATTTTATAACACTTGATTTGAAGAAAAGTGTCATATCATAACGATTGCCCTAAATTAGCACTCAAAATATACAGGTGGAAAAGATCTACAAAATCAGATTTATTCCCAGCAAGTTTTTCCTAATAGTAATTCTGCAGCTGCTGCAGCTCAAGTCTTGCTTCCTCAGGGAAGATGGGAAAGGTTTATGGCTTTCCTCTTTGCAGCAAATTCCTAAGTGAAGATAGTTTGTGTTGTCTTGCTTGAGCTCTTTTCTTTAGCCCAAGCAGGTTCTGTCTTTCATTATTTTCTCTTAGACCTCATGATTGTCACAGTTGCTGTTGTCTGGACTTTCTCCAGTTATGTTATGTAGTTGCTAATTTTTCTGGTTTTGAAAACAAAACACACTATTTGGTTAATATTGTGTCATATTAAAGTAGCATAATTTTGTATGACTCCCCAATGACATTATTCTTTTACACTGGTGCCAGGAATCAGCAGTGTGATGATTCTAATCTCCTCCACACAACAAGATGATGTGTAACAGCTCATCTTCAGTGCATGATTTGCTGTTGTCCTAATCCTTTCCCACAGAATATTGTTTACGTAGTTGCTTCCACCTTTGTATTAGTGAAGTTGAGTTTCACTCAGCAGGTTTTCACTGGCACACTCTTTTTCCCTCCATAAGATTATGTTCCCAAGTTAATTTTAATTTTAATCCCATATTGGAGGTCCTCCTGCGTTTTTAAGTGTGCACATTCGCATATACAATAACTGAACTCTTCCAAGATCAAAGTTATTAATGAATATTGAATATTAACATTGAATATTAACGGATTTGGTACAGATTTAGCATTTCATACATCCTTCAGGCGTGGGACTTAATAATTAATAACATTATTTAGTAACTGTAAACAAGCTTTGCCTAGATCACCTTTAATGAACATCAGTAGCTTTGCTGAAATCAAAATACATAGTATCTCTTTTAGTAAAAGCTGATCTCACTGGTGCATCTGAAAGCTTTCCCTCCCCACTGAGCTGGGGTACAGCACTTCCCTTTGCCCTCGTTGTCCTCCTCCTCTAGGGCTGTCTCAGTTTCCTTTTCTGGTCCTAACCAAGATTCATTTTGTGATTTGGCCTTTCTGATTTTGCTCCTACATAGTTTCACTCTTCCCTAAAATTCATCCTTTAGTAATTTGACCTACTTTTTACTTGCATATACTTCCTTCTAGTGTTTTAGGATCATTGAAGAGCTCTCAATTTAGTCGTTTATCTTGTGATACTCTTTTTCTCTTCTCATCAAGGTAGTCTGTGTTTATGCCCTTCACATTATTTCTTTAAGAAAACGGATTGCTCTCTTTGGAGTTTTTAATAAATTATAACCTAGTGGAGAGCAAATCTTAAGTTTGTGGTTTTTACAGGGCAGTCTTGGCTGACACTGGCTTGAGATATTCTCATGCCCCCAGCCGTCCATGCTGCCAGCACAACTGTTTCTTCATTGAGCTGTGATTTGGATCAGGGAACCAATCCAGCTTAAAAATAATCCAGCAAAAAGATTTATTTTTATTTTGCTCTTAAAGCTGAATCCTTTGCTCTGTTTGCAGAGCATCTATACAAACAATTGGCCTAATGCAGTTGAAAGCAGACAGAAAGCTGACAGCTTTACTGTTCACCTTTTTTGTTTTTAATTCTATTCTCTTTTTCTAGGAATTACAAGTAATATTTTCTCATAATCTTTCACCCAAGTTGCCCTTAGTCTTGTATTTTCAGTCAGTTTACCCTGCATTGATTAAAACTAAAAGATATTCCAGATTTGATGTAGTCACTTGTCTGCTTGGTTACAAAACTTTTCCCTGTACAACGGTCTTCCAGTACCTGAAGGGAACCTACAAGAAACGTGGAGAGAGACTATTTAGAAGGGCATGTAGTGACAGGACAATGGGGAATGATTTCAAACTGAAAGAGAGTAGGTTTAGACTAGATATTAGGAAAAAATTCTTTACTTTGAGGGTGGTGAGTCACCAGAACAGGTTGCCCAAAGAGTTTGTGTTCGAGGCCAGGGTGAATTGGGCTATGACCAATCTGGTCTAGTGGAAGATGTCCCCCTGCATGGCAGGATGCTTGGAATGAGATGATCTTTGAGGCCCCTTACTACCCAAACCACTCTATGATTCTATGTTTCTATACTGTAATGACCCTGTAGTACCTTCCCAACAGGTCTCTTTGTTGTTGAAGTCCCCCATCTTCACCCTGTTCTGTGCTTTGAAGAACTAACTAGCAGCAGGACCCAAAGCTCTAGAGTCCTGCATTGCCATGTCCTACAGATTTTCCAGGTGCCTGAGGAGGTCCAAGACCTGATTGAAGCTTTTCTAATTGTTTGGAGGGTTTGTATTAGCTCTCACAACAGGTAAGAATAGGGGCTGTTTGGTATTTGTTAGTGGTGTGCAAAGCATCTCTTTTCTGCCTGGATGTGTGTTTTGTGGCTTTCCTTTGTTTCAAATTGTAGGAATGTCATACTTTTGAGATCATAATGCCTCTGGTAATTTCCATGTAAATTAGCTAGTGGGTTAAATAATTTTCATCCATGCTGCTTTAATAGCATAGGAAAAAGAAGTTCAGCAGCCTTTCTGCTCACTGCGGTGCTATTTTTCTGAATACCTCTATTGAGAGCCACTTATATCTTCCTAGAAATCTAGGCATTTTGCCATGCTTTAGGCCACCTATTCATTGAAAATCCTCCTTCATTAGTTAGTATTTTCATCACCAGTGATTGCAGACCTTCACAGAGAGAATTCCTTCTCTGGCAGACAGTCCCAGCTCCATGGTTTCCCTCTCCTGACTCCAGTGAAGAAGACTAGGGGTCTGTGGTCACACCGGGAGACCTTAGCAATGGTGAGTGCACCTCTAGAAGGCATCCGTGCTAACTTCTGTAGGGATCACACCTCTCCAGCTGCTCCCTGGACCTTGCAGTTCCTTATAATCTGTCTTGATTTCATCTGGCAGATTTTATCAGACACAGGGATGAGGCCATATATCTGTCTGCATTCATACCTAATTTTGTCTTAACATGAGGTCTGTCTTGTGACTTCTTTTTTTTCTTATAAAAATGGAAATGCCTTTTTTTTAATTTAAAGATGATCAATTAATGTTTAAATAGCAAATAGATATAATATTTATAATTTTAAAATACATGTTGCTGGCCATGGCTGTCACACTCCTGTTTTGCTGTGCTGAAGCAGAACAAGCAGCTGTTGCCTTTCACCAATAAATTAGTGTTGGTGCTTCTTATACCTCACATAATTGGTTAACTGTTCTTCTGAGTGAATCCATTTGTAAAATTAATTGAAAATCATTATCAGTCTAATTATGACAATGTTTTGGGGTTTTCTTTCAGATGATGATGTAGAAAAGGCAAGTGCTACCAGAGATGCAAAAGCTGAGGGTTTTGCTCTTTGATGATGAATATAATAGGGATACTTTAAGGCACAGTGTAGTCACTTCTGAGATAGGTTTCTATTAACAAAGCCTGCAATAGACGAATTGAGCTTTAGAGGACACTACCATGGGGCTAAGCAGGCTACACTGCAAAGACCATTAATAGAAAGCCACTCCCTCAATCTGCTTAAACTTTGGCGAGGATAATGCGGCTTACTCTAACTGATTTTTTGATAAAACAGTAAAAGACAAACAGATGCTTGTTATGCCTGAGTTAATAAGTGCACACTATTGATAAGTTTCTTCTATTGATAAGTTTCTTATGCTTATCCAGGAATATTTGTCCCAGGGAAGAAAATTGTTCTCACCACAGTTAACACACAAGTCAAACACATAAATGTATTTTAATTTTACATGAAAAATATAGCAAGGGTTAGTGCATCATAATCAGCCTAACAAATTATTTAAACCTCCCAGCTGGTATGAGATTTCATTTATTCTTGACTTGCTTCTGTTCTGTTGGCTTTTTAAATGCTCATAACATAATGTCATGATGTTTTTATATGATGAAGAAACCCGTTCACCATGTGGATTACAGTATCAGCCCCTTTTGCATCTTGAAAACTGACTTTCTTAGCAAATGCACTTAATGTAATACCATGTTGCTGCAAAATAGTTTTCTATATCAGCTTAAAGATTAGATTCTACTCTTTGGAAGGCACAACCACCAGTGCAGAATTTTGGGTGATTCTCTGTGTATTCTGCAGGTGCAGTACAATTTTTATGCTCTTATTTTGGTGAAGTCATGTGAAATCGTGTTGGCAGCTCTGCATGTGAATAAGTTATGTATATCTCTGCTTCTGGCAAGTACAAGAAAGACATTGGACAAATTAGTATTTGCATTATTTTTTTCTAAAGAGAAACTGTGTGACTGGGAGAGTTTTGAGCCTTAGTTTTGTTTAAAAGTAATCTTGTCTTTTTTTAGTAGAAAACATGTCATTCTAGGTATGGAGTCTAACCTAGGTTTCCTAGTGCACTTTTTCAAAGTATCATCCTTTAGTAACTGCAGTTCTCATAGTAAATAAATTCCCTTTATGTAGAAGCTTATGATCTTGTACAAAAGGTCCTGTATGAAAAAGTATCCATTATTTAAGTTTTTGTAACCCAGCTATACTGTATATTCAGCATGTAACAGTGGCATTTAAGATTCATACCAAATATAAAAATACCTCTTCTATGACAGCGTCTGCTGTAATCACGGAGTGTATGTCAACCCACTACACTTCCTAATAATATGGTGTATTTGGAAAACAATTATATGATGTTCTATTATGTCTGAATGCCTAAAAAATATAATTGACTTACAGAATAATCATTTGTATTTAGTTAGGCATGTATTTATCACTAAATCTTTCACTTGTAGGTATGCCTAAAATCAGCAGTGCTGTGAAGTCCATTGTGGAGATTGCCTTAGTTTGTGTTTTAGGTTATTAATTTTAAAATTTATCAGTGGCATTAATCTGCATGATATTTGGCTATGTTAGGTACAAAGTTTTTTTCAGCTGATTTAAGAACTAAAATTAATTTTGAAATGCCTTTGTTTCATATGATAACACTGCAAAAATTTTGTTAATTCACCCACAGTTATCTGTCTGCTATTTTTGCTTATATGAAGTTCTGCCATGAAAACAAGAATTTAATGGAGCTGGAGGACTGTGGTTCTGTGCTACAACATGCTGAAGTTAGAAGCTGGGGTTGCAGTTTTGTTTTCATATATAAAGGGATATAGTTTTGGTTTTGTGTGTTTGAGACTGCAGTTTTTTTGTCTAATAAAACTTTTAATCAGATTTCATCTTTAACAGCTGGTTGCATATTGGAAAGATTGAGCCAAATGAAATATTTTTAAAATGTTAGCCATTTTTGAAAATTTATTACAGCAGGATTTTCCTACTCAAAATTTCAGTATCCAGTTTTAGTGCTGAAGATTTATTTGTACAGGCTTAATAGAAGAAAAAAGTGATCTTTTCTGTGCCATACGGTATCAGTGGCATATTCATAGATTAAAAAAAAATATTAATATTGGCAAAATGATAACACTTGAAGTGTGAAAATGTGCATGTCATTTTAATCTGAAATTTTGTTGAGTTTTTAATTTCTTTTTCTTTTTTTTTTTTTCTCCTATCTCTTACAAAGTCTTATACAGATCTTGCGCTAGGTTGGGTTTAATCAATCACTGGAAGTGCCTGACTCATTCTGCTGTCTACTGAGTGAGTTTCAGTTTGTAAACTACTTGTCTGATTTTGGAAGAGGTGATCCTATGTACATGATGGCTTTATGAAGTGCAGTATTTTCCCACCTATTTTCACAGTTTTTGGGAGACACAGATGATGTCGACATTTGGAGGTGTTGTGCAGATCGGTAACTACTGTGTTGCCACTATCGTTAGTTAAGATTTCATTTATGGGGACAAATAAGCTTGTGCCCCCATGCTAATCTGAATTATTTTATGAGGTAGTTTTTATTTATCTTATTTTTTTTAAAAAATGTAACCTAGGAATCTAATCTACCTAGAGTACAAATTGTTTAACGTGATTATTGAAATAAGACTGTGTGTTTGCGTGATCAAGTTGTTAAAATGGAAGTCTTCAATATGCAAGTAAGCTTGCTACCGGTAAATTTTGTTTTATTTTATCCTGTCATGCTCGGAGTGAGTGTTGAAAGACAAATGGGCAAGTGTTGCTCAGCCAGAGGGGAGAAGCACGTCATACAGCCCCCAGAATAGCATCGGCAGTAAATATGGTCATGCTGTTCTTCCCCGAGATAGACCCAGATCACATTCGTAGCACCCACCAGGTCTGCTGGTTACCAGACGTTCAGAGCCTTTGATGAAACATTTACAAATGCAGCTGCGGTTCAGAGGGATCTTCTGCCGGCAGTGAAGAAGCTGACATCAAGAAAACCAAGGGAAACGGGATCACAAGCCAGGGAGTTCAAACAAAACGCAGTTTACGGGGAATACAAATTTAATCACAGTATTAAAACACTGCGCAAAGATACAAATGTATTGTAAAGTGAAGTCAGAGAGAGGCTGAGATTTAAAAAGTTTTTTCCAGTTCCAGTTATTTCTCACTTTGTGCAATATATTGCAATAAAATAAGATAGCCTTGAAGGTCTGTGGCAGTGGCCTATCTAACATGTAAGAGGGAAAAATTTAATTATTCAAGGCCAAGAAAAAAACCTGTTAATTTCTTCATCTTGAAAAGATAGATTATCCCCTCTGGGCCAAGAGAATGTTCTCACTTCCTTGTCCCTAAGCTCTGTTCATATTAACTTGTATTAATATAGCTTCTAAGCTTTTATAATGCTTTTATTTTGCTCTGAGGACTGTAACGCACTGGTCAAATACTGCTTTTGTGTTCTGACCACTGGACTTCACGGGATGCTACAGGAATTAAGCCAAGGCATTGCGTCCTCCTCCACCCCCACTCCAGTTTGCGTGTCTCTGTAAAATTTGAAAAGCTCGCTTCAGCTTCTGCAGCTTCTCTCCTCTGGCTTTGCCTCCACACCGGTGCATTAGCCAGGGTGTTAGTGGAAAGGGTTTGTTATTTCAGACACATACCATCGCCTGCTGCCCTCACTTCTCCCTTGCACTTGCACAGGGCACGGAGACAACTTCATACTTTCATTTGTATCAGTTACACACACGGGATTTAAATTCATCCCTTTCTCTGTATAGTGCCTTTTTTTTTTCTCAGATAACTCAGTAAATGTCAAATAGCAAGTATTACTGCCTTCAGCTAGCACTAATATACTGCCTCTTTTTCTTTAGAAAATCTCATTGACATTTCTTTAAATGTGAAGAGAGAAGTATGCTTTCAGAGCAGTAGCTCTGGAATTTGTTCTCTATTTGTGAGTGACGTTATGCAGTTGAGAAAAAATCATGCCAGCATGTTTCAGTCAGTGCCAAAAGAACATAGACAGCAATTCGGTGCCCAGATCTATTGCTGCCCAAAACTGTATCTTGTCCTATTTATACTTTCACAAATGAAGGTCTTGCTTACAGGGGGAGTTAGGTGAATGTTGTGTTTGCATGATATTTGATAATGAATTTGCGCAGCCGTTTTACATTCTGCTGTTCTTTTATTTCAAGCATTGAAAATGTAAGGTTTTAAGTGGCATAGATAGTTTGTAACAATCAAGTCAAAGAATCCCAGTTTCTTAAATTATCATTACTTGTGTTGGAGTTAACTTCATTTGAAATACATACTTTTTTCTCCAAAACAAGGGAGTTTGACCATTCTTGGTATTCAGGACACCTAAACCATAAATAGTGATTTACTCTTAAACAATGGTTGAGAAAGAAAAGTACAGAATAAAACAGTAATTTAAAGTGGAGTCTCTTTGGGTCAGAACTCAAATTAGGGAGTTACGAATTGTTGTCAACTAACAGTCCAATTCTTTTGGGCTTTTTCATCAACACATGCCAAGAGGCTGGAAAACTCAAAGAACAATTATCAATCAAATACAGAGTAGCAATTTTGTTAATTTGAAGAAAAGCAGGAGAAGTTGTTTAAATCTGTCTGAAGACCTAATAAAATAGTATCCTGATATCTGTCTGGAGAGGATGGAAGCTGTGTAACAGGAACGCTGAGTCTCCCTTTGTCAAGCGTAGAAATGAGAGCTGGTATAGGAAGTCATGCATATGGAGGGCCCTCCACTGGGAAATATCAGGAATGAAAATTCCAGTTGGCTTATACAGATGTTGTGAGAAGTGGAACTTATTGAAAATTTCTTCAGTTTTTCAAAATTCAGTAAATACAATAAATTGATATATCATAACGGACCGCTATAAATTCCTTTTTGTTTCTGCTGTACTATTATTTGAAAATATTTGCAATACTCATGCATAAATTACGTGATTTAGATTGGGGGAAAAGATGTTAGCAAGAGAAAATATTCTACCCACACTTAAGGCCCCCATCCCTCCCTGAGAATACATGAGCCGGGTTACCAAGACAGTCCCCATGATTTTTCTGGGGTGGTGTGGAGCCTGCGGATAGGCCAGGATAGAACAACCTTCATCCCTGCTGCTGTGCTGGCACAAGGTGCTCTTGGACAAGGGGTGACCTAAGCTTTTCAAAGCACTTTTATTTTTCTGACTATCTCATGAAGTGAGATTTCAGGGAACCTAATTGAAATATTTTGCCTCTTTGTGTTTGGTTATTTAGTCCAGCTTGCAGAAAGGTAATGAGCAAACATCAAGAATTAAGGCTGAAGAAATAACAATTTCCTTATGTAAATGAGCACTATATTTCTGTGTTGTCTTAATGATTAATGCTGTTAAAAGAAATGGCTCTTCCTCAGTGGCAACTATTTTTTTTACTTGTCAATGAAAATGTTTGGAAGTGCATGATTATGCTTTAAAGTTGGCTGGAAAAAGATTAAATGTTTAGCTTAAACTTACTTGCAAATTAACTTGAAGTTTTCACAATGTTTTAAAAGATTTTTAGAAATTTTTGAAAATTATTAAACTTTGGGTTTGTTTCAGGGATGGAAAGAATCTGATTTCAAAATTTTTTCAGGAAGGATCTTTTAAAATTGTTTTCCAGTCAGAGAAAATACTTCATGAGACTTCAGAGGACATTTACAAAATTGTACTTAACCCCTTAAATTTCCTTAAGTCTTTCTGTGTTTCGTTGTCATCCCAGTTACTGGATATTTATATTTTGCAGTGCGATGTAGAATTTGAACCTGCTTAAGAACTGAGAGAGAACCCACTAAAGTCACTACAAATCACCCCTCTAACTTTGGTGGACTTTGCTTCAGTGTCTGTCTAATCTTTTTTACTAGCTCAAAGTTGTACACTCTGGTTTTGGCCACAGGCAATGGAAGGTACTATTTTTAACATTCATTTTGTGTGTTGTGGTAATATGTGAATTCTAATGGGCAGCCAAAACCCAGTGTGCCAGACAGTGCTGTGCAAACAAAATGTCATCACTGTTAGATTAAAACCAGTATAAAAAAAATCAACACCTGGATGCTATGCACAGAGGTACAGAGCACAGGGGAACCTTTTAATAGAATTTTCACTCATGTGGGTTACTCATCTAAGTTAATGCGTGGGAAGATGAAGCATGAGAAGTGATGATACAGATGATGATACAGAATTGTTCCTAAAAGCTTGGCAACGGTCTGAGTTCGTGAGCCAGCATATTACACCTGTGCACAGAGACAGCAGACATGGATAAGTTTATAAAAACATGATTTAGTTCTTGTGAATTAGGCTGATATGTTAGATTTTATAATGAAGATGTTGTTTCTATAAAAGCTTGATAGATTGGATAAAGCTTTAATGTTAATATATAGATTTTAAGGTTGACAGCTAGGAAATTGCACATTTTTCACCTTATGTAAATACATTAAGTCTTTTTCTGTGTTTGATTTAAAAGCGTGATATTTCAGGAAAATTCATTCCAATCATCAAAACTATGGAAGTTTATATAGCATTAGAACAATGAATATTTTTGTTATATTGTAATCACTAATAACTATTTTGAAATAGACTTACTATAAAACTTTTAAGAATTTTATATAGAAAAATTAACTATTAAGCAGTGTTTACACATGAAACTCCTGCATGGAACAGGCTGGACTACAGTATTTAGAGAAAACATGGCAGAATTTTCAGGTGAAATCCCAGAATAAAACCTAGTATGATATGTTAAGTAACTTTGAAAATGACTAAATAAATTCTATTATAAGTTGATTTTGTTGGATGTAAAATGGTAGCTCATTAATTATATTTCCCGAGAATATGCGTCAGTTATCTAGAATTGCCATCCCTCCATGGTTTTATATGCAATTAAATTAGGACACAGACAGTCTCAGCTGGGACTATCAAGATGTATCTTTGCTCTCACTGTTTCTAAATAGTTGCATATCTAATTCATCAGTCACATTAAAGACAGTTCTTGTGTCAATATTAAGTCTCAGCTGTGTATCTGAATTCAATGCTAAGTTCTTTTGACTCATGTCATCAACAGTAATGCAGCATCTGCCACTGGAATTTAGTCAATAACTATTGATGACAGAAGGTCCAGAACAGAACCTGTCTTACTTTCCCAACTCCTGCTTCACTGTCAATTAGGCCAGTTCTGCCCTTGGAACTGAACCAATGCATCTGTTAATGATGCATAAACAGAATCCAGTTAATTTTTAGCTATAATGGCTCCGGCTGCATAGAAAAAAGCAAAAAGATTTTTTTGCCCCTGTAATCTAATCAAACTTGGTTTTCAATATGCACAACGAAATCTGTTTAGAAATAAATAGTAATTTTTTACTTGCATCAATCACTTTAATGACACATCTGGCCTAGATGTTTCTTGTCAATATCATGGAGTACAAGGTGAAGTAAAGAAGGAAACTGATTACCAGAATACTGATTTCCAGATGTTTGACCCAATTTATACAACTGTTTATCAAGTTGATTTTTGTACTGTTTAGTTATTAGTATTAGCTGTAAATGTTATTTTTTTTCCATGATGTAAAAATTTGTGAATTAAAAAGACACTTGTAGGGGGTTGTGTATATATATATTTTTGTAATCGTGTACAGACCCCAGAGAGGCCACATAGAGAAATAGGGCAAGAACATCAGTGTGGTTGGAAAAATGTTTTATCAGGCAGGGCTAGGGGGCTGCTTGCAGATGCAAGATGCCAGTCAGATTTGCAGCTGTGTGCTGCTTTTGTATTCATGACACACACATTAAAGGTGCCTTTATGGAGACTTTAATTCCAGTTGTGTAAAGCTTTGTGTAAATGCATGTGGAACAAGGTTGTCCACGGTGAGCTTTTTCATAGTTTGGCCCTTTTGCTTGCTTTTCTTCAGGTATGAGGAGGTAGAAGGGCTTGGGAACAAACATAGGTGGATGGCTGGGTGCTCGTCCTGAACGAAAAAGAATCAGCCCCTTTTCTTCTTCATAATCTCTGGAATGAGAAGGTTCTTTGCATCGTATATTTGGAAAAGGGAGGCCTCGTGTGGTCAGGCTTGAGAACAGCTGCCTGCCTGGCTGGGGGGAGCCTGGCCGCAGGCGCTCCCTCCTTCAGCTGAGCTGTTGACAGCAAACCAGGACTATTAACATGGACATACGGGTGGTATTTATCACGGAATCATAGAATGGCCTGGGTTGGAAGTGACCTTAAAGATCATCTTGTTCCAGGCCCACTGCCGTGGGCAGGGACACCACTACTAGACCAGGTTGCTCAGAGCTCCATCCAGCCTGTCCTTGAACACCTGCAGGGACGGGGCATCCACAACTTCTCTGGGCAGCCTGTTCCAGTGCCTCACTACCCTCAAAGTAAGGAATTTTTTCCTGATATCTTATCTAAACCTACTCTCTTTCAGTTTGAATCCATTCCCCCTTGTCCTGCTTTTGTAAAAAGTGTTACAGGCTCTTGTAAAATGTCTTACATTTCACTCTTGTGAAAAGTCCCTCTTCTTCTTTCTTGTAGGTTCTCTTCAGGTACTGAAGGCTGCAATTAGGTCACCCCTAAGCTTTCTCTTTTCCAGCCTGAACAATCCCAATTCTCTTAGCCTTTCCTCATAGGAAAGGTGTACTCCATTATCCTTATTGTCTTGGTGGCCC